TTAGAAAAATCCGAGTACCGCTGTAGTGCAGCGGGCAGAAAAGTTCTGCCGGGCAGGAAAAGGAAGGGCTTCCGAAATGCAGATGGGACCGAGCTGCTGCGCGGTGTCCCCGCACGGACCCCGGCCTCGGGACAGCAGGTTGCGGTGTTAAACGTGTCCGGTGCTGGCTGCGTATCGGGGGTGAGCAGCTGCGCCGGGCGCCCATGGCTTCGAGAGGTGAGTTTCACAAGGCACCCCCTTGGATCAGCACTCGCCTGCCTGCCCCGCCTGCCTGCCCCACCTGCCTGTACTCGTCCACGGAAGGCTGCAGGCAAGTAACTGGCATTTAATTCGGCCTTTTTGCCGAATGTAACTGATGGGAGAAGGAAAGCTGGCCCGCCTTTTTTTATAGCCCAGGTTTGTGTTGACGTACAGAAAAGCTTTATGGGGCACTTGCTGATGCGAGAAGAGTGATGTCCCTCCAAGGGTAGGAGACAAAGTGAATCTCATCAGTGGGGCAAAAGCCCCGAAGTTATTATTGCAAGCATCAGGATATCTTTTGTCTGGCTGGTTTGTGTCAGAATAGCAGCATCCTATAACTCTAAAATAAATAGTACATGAAAAAGTTGAGATGCTCCTAGGAAGAATAATCTCACCAACCAAGAATGTATGAAAGAGGAAGTGCAACTTTCTCCCATTCCACATGACACTTTAAAAATATATATAGAACGGGAAGGTGTGGGAAAGAATTAGAAAAAAATAAATAAAACATTATTTGAAAAATAGAGAACCTATGAAACTAATACACCTACGCATGCTTTTAGCAAAGCTCACTGCTAGTGATGGACACAGAAGCTGAGTGTACATATGGGGCAAAGTAGAAGCTACTCAGCAGGCAAGAGCATTTCTCCACTTTCCTAACAGGAGCTTAGCATTAGAGTTATTCCAGGGAAACATGGGTTGACACTACCCCATACTACCACAGCTGCAACCTCCTCCAAGTAAGAATATGAGCATCTCTAGACCTGTCCAATCTTGACTGTGTCATCATTTATTAAAATAAGAAATCAAGGCCTGCTTTGTATATATACATTAGCGAACCAGTTCTGGCCAGCTCGCTCAGTGTTTGTTGGCATTAGCAAATGCCTACCATGGGAGTTCCCTAAAGAGTCCCATGAAAATCAGTCAACTGTTGTCCTTCATTTAATTCAAATGTCTTGCTATATCCATAGTTTCTGACTTGGGCGGGTAACAATAAAACAAACACAGCCACGGGATTAAGGACTATGTTATGGTGAGTTTATCTAGACAGACCTTTACAAGCCTGGCGCAAAAGTGATAGCTCCTGCACAATGTAAGAATATGACAAAAATACAATATATGCAAAAGCCACTCAAAGTCACTACCAGGGACAGAACTGAGCAGAGCTGCCTACCTGGAGTGTTGCGGATTTACCAAATATGTATCAGAGCAGATGTGTTCCACACAGGGCATCCACTTAAGCTTTTAAAACCTCAGCTATGAAACCATTACAAAGGACACAAAAAAGGAAAAGAAAATGTTTTCTTCATAGAAAAGTAATACAGTTCAGACTGACTCTTCCCTAAACTTTCCTCATCTCATTCTCCGGAGTTGGGGCTTCAAGTGGAGGTACATTTTGTGTCAGAAACTTTCTCTGCTTTCTCCACGGGAAGCCACATGTGTTTCAAAAGATGAGAATTTTCTTGGAGGGCAGGTGGGAATTAGTGACCCTCTTCCACAGCAGAGGAGACCCAAGTTGTGCTCTGGCAGGTGGTATGAGTAAAGCTGGGCAGAAGTGATGCTGTGTCTGGGAGGTACTGGATGAATCCTGACATTCAGCTGGACAAAGGGGCAGGAGCTGAGAAGAGAGAGGGGATGTTCTAATGCACAGTTGATGGGGGAAAATGAAGTGAGAGATCGCTGCAGGGGGAGTGAGCTTAGGTTAGGGCTTGGAGGGAGGAGGGTCAGGCAGGGCAGGGTTGGTTTCGAGGGAAAGCAGAGAGCCGTCCGGGTGGGAGAGCATGGAGCTCACTCCTGGGTGGATGTGCACTTCTGGGAGTAGCTCTCCCCATTGCCTCAGCCCGTGGCTCAGTGTTGGACCTCACTGAGGGTTGAGAACATCTGGGGAAGAGAATACACCCGGGTAGTGTGGCCTCACAGTCCTGCTTGCTTGCAAAAGTATGCTGGGGAAGCTGGTAATGTGAAGGCACTCATGTCCCTTTGCCCATCATCTCAGCTCTGTAACCTTATTGCATGTGGGGCAATATCAAGGTGGCAACTTCAGCCAGACAGCTCTCATTCCAAAACCTTTCCAGCATCTTCCTTTCCTTTCACAGAGGTCTTGAGGAAGGAGAGAACAACATATAGATAGGCATAGTGGTGTAAGCTTATTTTAAAGTAACTCTTAGGAAAGGGCTGAACACTCATCTTTCTTAAAGCCCTATGTGATAAGGGTTAAATCAGCTGGATTTTATAGATAGGTTAAACTGGGTTTTCCCATAACCTCCAGCAGGTGTAACTCATTTGGGAAACTCCTGCAGATTTGCCCCTCCAGAGGAATCAAACACACTGAATTCTTTCCAGCAAAACCTCTGCACCACTCGCTGCTATCACCACTTTTCCTGTTTATGTGTTTTTATCCAGTGCGCAACTGGTGGGCAGCATGGCCAGCTGCGTGTTGTCCTTTAACCACATAAAACCGCGACTTGTACAGCAAAACAGTGGGATGCAAGGCTTTGACCTGTGGTCCTTCCTAGTGATTCAGATAGACTTATTAGAGAAATAGGCCCTGGAGGCTATATTGTGTGTTTTTCTCAAGCAAGTTGGGCACAACACCAGCTTCATGCCTTCTGCTTCAATTCCAGTATTAGTGCATTTTACTGCTATTCATGCCCTCGGCCACCCATCCACTGAGTTATGTCATTTGAGCATAAATTTTGCAGCTGTCAGATATGCAAATACTTAATGGGACATAACATAATCACAGTACCTAATTTACCAACTTCTGCTACAGTACTAAACAAATCAATATTAGGTTTATTGCTTATTTAAACAACAGAGATGCTGAAGTCAATCATGTAACGCTCTTCTTTGCTTTTTATTTTAGTTATGGATTTCTGTTACTGCTCCTTCATATCATAAGAGCTGGTAAGTTCAGAACACTTTAGTTAAAAATGAAGCTGCCCTCTCTTTAAAACATAGTACACAAAGTAGTTGTAATATGTACAATATGAGCATCTGTATGTTTTCAGCA